TTTTTCGTTGTAATTTAACGTTGCGAACTTCAGACACATCCTCGGAAGGCGATGTCCCAACTTACATCGAATACATTATATCAAGTTACTAAAGTTAGATCATTAACAATGAAAAATGGATTTAGCGTTATATATATAAGAGTTATATTCGTCACAATAGATGACGAATTTGATGTGTTCCTACCCAAAAGAGTTAATATAGTACTCGAAAAAGATGAAGAAATGTTGAAAAACCTACATCAGACTAGTAAGAAGAAGGAGTTATTTATTTACCATATTGTCGGTTTAAATTTCGAATTTAAACTGCAACGGTCTGGAAAATAATCAAATTATTCTCGCGGCCCGTTAAGAATTTTGTTTTCGCTGTTCGGTGCGGGGCTCACCGCCGCCCCGATCAGCTAGCCGCTTCCTGGCGTTCCGCCGAATACGGGCGGGTACTCGCTGCCCTGAGAAGGGATCGCAAAAGCGCGGCTAAGCACGAGAGCGTGCGTAGGTTCTAATCGCGGGCGTGGGAAGGGACAAGGGTGCCTTCCTGGGTACGCCCAACACAACGGCAACACTTGAGTAGGTCAAATCGGGCTTTATTCTTTTAGACAAATTTTATACAATTACCGCATGCCGAGATTTCGCTATTAATACTACTTCAGAGAGAGAGACGCTCGCTCGCGCAACTAACGCAAGCTAAGTTGTCGCTTATAAACAGAGAGGAACTCACCGGGAAGTAGCTGCTGCAGACAGACTACTCCTTGCTAATCGCCCGCGTTATCGCCCTTGCTCGGGCGGGCAAGTTCTGCCCCTGGTAATCGCCCACTCGAGATGACGATCCACAGGCTCCGGCGATCCTTGAGGATAGTGTCCACTTTTCTCGCACACTCGCACTTTGCTTTATTTGCAGGTCGCTTTCCTTTTCTTCCTCTTTTCTTTTGTTCGCGCGCGCACGTGACAATCCTTCGAGCTCGCCGGTCTGAGTCCAAGTGCCCGAAAAATCGTTTTCTCCCCCCACTCTACCGCTACGGCACGCGCCTCATCGAGTCTCGCTCTGTCTCTCTCTTCACTCCTCGCTCGCTTGCCCGCTTGGCCATGCTCGGCCTCGTGCGCGGACTATCTTCCGCCGAAACGGCCCCGGCCGTTATAAAACATAATTGTATGTTCAACTAATAATAATTAAATGTATTATAATACTAATGTAAATAGCTGCACTATGAATAATAAAAAAAATATATATCTAATTGAATAGTCCTTTTTTCCTTTATTTAACTATCCTTTTATTTCCTTTTGTGGAGAGGTAAAAAAAAAGTTCATAATGTAGCCCTTCCCAATGAATTTTATCTCATTGTAAAGGTGACTCATGTCTTTCAGTCAGAGCTCTATCGTTGAAAATGCCGGATGGAATGGTGATAATAATGAAGTTTTAATATGTAATGCTCAAGGTTTTTTTGATGTGACTATCCTTGTCAGTATGTTGATGGGCTTTGCTGAAGATTATAGGAAAATTGATCAAATTACTCAATCAGATTGGACGTGATCGTGCAATTACTATGAGTTATCGTACTTGGGAAATGTATGAGTATCCAAAATTACCTCGTACATCAAAGCATGTTTGGAGTCTTAAGACTTCCAATCAATTGGAAAAGCTTCGATTTGTTATTTTAGCTTTTCAAACTAAACGTAAAAGTTCAGCGAGTGTTATTTCTAGTAATTTTGATCATTGTAATATTAGAAATGTGAAGCTATTCCTCAATTCACAATGCTATCCGTATGGAAATCTCAATTTAAATATCAATCAAAATCATTTTGCTGTTCTCTACGATATGTACACTAATTTTCAAAACGCTTACTATGGTAAAGAAAACGAGCCGTTACTCAATAAAAAGGATTTCACTAATAAAGTGCCGCTAATAGTTAGAGACTGCTCCAAACAAAATGAAACATTAAAAAGCACCCCAGTAGATGTTCGCCAAGAATATGAAACTCGGACCGATTTCCCTGAAGATACTGCAGCCTACTGCTTAATATTACACGATCGTATTGTACAATATAATCCAATTAGTGGTGATGTGAAAAAATTAGTTTAAAATTAACAAGACATTATGTAATCAATGTACACGATGCTTTTCAATAAAAAAAGAAAATAAATAAATATATATATATACAGGGTAGTCTATTTTAATCGAGGTCCCCAAATTACTCCGTTCCTAAGCGTTATATCAAAAAAAAGTTCAGACAAAAGTTGCTCAATATTTAGGGGGTTTAAAGGTTATCGTTATTTTTTAATGGTAACTCCTATTTTTATTACGGATTTGGATTCTTTGTCTAATTCTGCGTTCAGGTAACCTAACACGTCTGGGGTCGGGGTGACCCCCACCCTTGAATCCCCCCCCCCCCCCAAAGACATTTTTTTAAATGGTAATCCCGATTTTCACTGCGGATTCAGATTTTTCGTTAAAGTCTACGTCCTGCTATGATGGCACAAGTGTAGGGTCCCTATAACCTCCCCCCCTCCCCCCTCCCGAGGTCATTATACGGTTGACGGTATTTTCCAAACAAAGAACTCTTATTTTGTTTACCAGGCTTACAGTCCTCAATTCCTTCATCCTTTAGCTCTATTACCCTAAATCCTTATACCCCACCCCCAATTCCTCTACTCCCTAAATGAATAACCTACAAGGATAAGCCCAGAACGTTAATTTTGTCCTTGATCTCAAATTCCTTGAATCAAAGTCCTTGATCTCAAATTTCGTAATCCCGGAGCCCTGGTGTTCACTGTAGGGTATATTAGGCACAACGGTTTTCAAGATACTTACGGCCGATTGGAGACAATTAAGTTGTCTAAAATATTTTTCACTTGCTTTTACTTGAGTGAGAAGTAAGTAAAGAGAAAAAAAATTATAAGTAATTACAATTTTGTTATGTGAGAAATTCGAAATTTTTATATTACTATTGTTTACTGCAGGGTTCATTGTACACTACCATTCTAAACATGGTTGACTACACTTCTGCTGAAATCGTTGATATGTTGTTGGTTTTGGGAGAGTGTCAGGGAAATTATAACGCAGCTGAAAGACTTTATGCAGAAAGATAGCAAAATAGACGTCACCCTAACGCCAATACTATGAGGACTCTTAAATTACGCGCACAAGGTGGAAATTTACGTCACCAACGCCAACACAATGACTATGGTGGAAATGACGTTCGAGTTTTGGTCATACTAGCACATGTACATATGAATCCTCACATAAGTTCGCGTCAAATAGCCAGGGAAAGCCGTATTCCAAGAACCATAGTTCTTCGGATTTTACGAGTCATGAAATATAACCCGTATCATATTACACTCACACAAGCTTTAACTCCTAATGATATGTTAGAACGTACTCGTTTTTGTCAATGGGCCTTGCAAATGCTTGAGTTGGATCCAAACTTTTTCCAATTCGTACTTTTTTCCGATGAAGCATCATTCAAAAGTAATGGTAAATTGAATCGGCATAACTGCCACTATTGGTCAAATGAAAACCCTCACTGGTATCGATCGATAGATCATCAACATCGCTGGAGTATCAATGTCTGGTGTGGAATTGTGAATGGTCACTTGATTGGACCTTATTTCTTTGATGGAAACGTAACTGGACAAATTTTCTTGGCGTTTCTCCGCAATCATTTGCCTAGATTACTAGAAAATGTGGATCTATATCTATCTATCACTGGTAGATCCTAAGTAAATTAATACATTATTGATTTTTTAATTTAGTTTATTTTATTACTTTTTTTTTATAAATTTTACAAAATTAAAATTACAGTTTTTTTTTCTTTTCTTAATATTATTATTATTATTATTATTTAAATTTTCTTGATCCGACGTCCTTCGAAGAGCGAGTCGGTTTCCTCACTGTTGGTTGGGCCGGAATCAAAATAACTTTTCGTCGAATAACTCTACATTCTTCACCAACGAAATTTTTTTCTGTAAAAAAAATTTTTTAATTATTATTTTTAATTTATATTTATTAATTATTTCTTGTAACGGGGGAGATAAATCTGAAAATGGGAAATTTATTTAAGAACAAACTCCCACGATGCAGAGCAAACCGCCGATCCGTTAAACACGTATGATAATACGTGTATTCGCCTTAACGTCAGATGATTTATCCTAGTTGTCTTCAATCGATCGGAGTTGAACTCACCTTAAGTCACGTGTCTTGTCACATTTGATGAGTTTTAAGTGTGAGCGACTTTACTCCTAATCTTCTTAATCCCCTAGATGTAATTTGATTAAAACCTAAGCCTGTTTCAAATACTTAAGCTACCAGGAAAATCAAATGACGAAAACTGCGAATAAATTTAACAGACTTTAATTAATAAAAATTACTACAGTCTTTGTAGGGCCGAAAGACTAACGCACGCGAATAAGATTTTACAATTAATTATATTCGGTGAGAAAGAGAGAGAAAGTAGATTCGAATTATACCGCGAACTAACGCTCGACGCGAATACGAAAAATAACGCTATCACGAATAGACAAAATACCGAATGTATTTTGTATCGCTTATAATAACGGAAGGTGCACCTACCATGCGGTGCAATTACGGTGATCAGCCGTAATTGTTGTTGTAAAATTTCAACTGCCGCTGCCCCTCGTTATCAGCTGCTCACCTTGTATTTCCTATATCAGCTGTTATCTGCTGCTTCTATACCGCTGCTTGCTGCTGCAATATCGTCGTTGCACACCCGCACGTGTTTGTCCCAGAGAAAACTTATTATTTTTGCGAATCAAAGTGCAAAACACAAATCGGCGGTAAACTCGCGTAAACAGCTGAGGCGTAACTGCTTATTCAAAAGATCGCGCGCCCCCTCTCTCTCTCTCTCAATAGTTCGAACTAACGCGCGAGAAGCAGAATCGCGAACGGTTCGATTAATGAAATCGGCTACCGTTGCATTCTATAATATAGGTACTTACAGTAGCAGTCAAATCGAGTGGTATATCGACTTGTGCATCGACTCTTTGACAGCCTACGGATGTTGCTGTAGATAAGGTTGCTGTTGACGTCGCTGGTGATGTTGACTTCGACGTTACTGATGATGATGATAATGTCATCAACGCTGATGATGTTGACAACCTCGAAGATGGTACATTATCTTGATTCACCATGGCGGTTGTTGATGGTGCAGCAATCTCGTTTATGCTGGAAAGCCTTCTCTTAACCTTCGCAGCAAGTTCGTCTTGCTCCGCTTTAGCTAAGTCGGCTTTCCGTTTCCGCTCCAATCGAGCCGATTCTTGCTGCTTCCTCATAGCGTCCGCACGCTTAAGTTGTTCCAACTTCGCTTTCACGCGATCATTGACAATCTTGTCAATTTGATACGCAACTTGGTGCGACATCATTCTCGCCGCAATGGATTCCTTGATCCACTGAAAAAGAGAAAAGACAATTAAATATTAATAAAAAATATAAATTGATATAATTTTGTAATAATACTCACTTGTTGGACAATCGCCTTTATTTTCTGAATTTGCATAGCTTGAGGACTGCTCTCGTCTACAAATCGTTGCAACTGAAAAATAAATGATAATAAATAAATAAATAAATAAATAAATATATAATGAGAAAAAATACTTACAGTTATTAATATTAGAATTAATAACCGATATAACGGCTCTCTTGCTATAGCCTGAAGGGTAGGATTAGTAAGCTGAAATTGAATAATAATATTATTATTAAAATAAATTCTAAAAGTTATTTAAATTATTTTTAAATTATTTAAAAATTATACTTACATTTTCTAAAAATTCACACGCTCTAATAATATTTTCCATGATTTTTTTTCTTTTTTTATTAAATAAATTTTATAAAAATATAAAAAACTTACTAATGTTTAAATAATAAACGATCACCACTTCACTGTGAACAGCTCGAAGTTTCCTTTAAGACTGACCAACGAAAATCCTACCGAACGCTCACACTAATATCAGGTACGATTTTTCTACAATATACGTAACGCTACAGACAAACGTAGACATTCTTTGAGTGAGATAGAACGTTTGGTGTGTCCTTTCCCTCCCCATGTGGGCTAGAAAGTTTGCCACTTTCTAAAAAACTTCATAAATCTTGAGCGACGTGACGGTGACTTTATGGTCATCCGCAACAAACGTATTAAACGCAGATGGTCACGCGTCCGCGCTAATGAGTTTGTTTAATCATCCTTAAACCGTCTATAATCTACATTTGTAATAGTCATAGGCAACATAAGATAAGAGGGAAGGTAGTAAGCATAGATGCTTTTCTTTCTGAAAGTAGTGGAGAAGCTTGATCACCCTCAAACCAGCTGTGATCTACATTTATGATAGACATAATAAACTTAAGATAACAGGGTAGTCAGTAAGCATAGCTCCTCGTGCGCTCCCCTCCTCCTCGCTCTGTGGTCCGCGCTGAGTTAGAGCTAGAAAGAGAGCACACGTTTACTACTATTATAGTAGCGTATGCCCATCAGGCCAGAACTATAGACAGCATGCGCTCCCCCCTCCTCCGGACGCTGTGGTCTACGCTGAGTCTGAGCTAGAGAGAGGGAGAGAGAGAGCACGCATCCTCAAATTAGAACTAAAGACAGCATGCGCTCCCCCCTCCTCCGCACGCTCAGGCTCTAACCAAATGTATCCGCTCATAGCTAATATACACAATATGCATCCTCTATGTGGCATTGGCTGTAGTGGTATAGCGCTAGCCTGCCAACCCAGAGAACTCTGTTTCGATTCTCCGGTCTGTCTCTCCATTTTTTTCAAAAATCGTCGTTATTTTCTATTCGTTTCATTTTCAATGTAGCAAGTAAATTGTCAATAATATATATTTATAACTTTAAAAAAAATACTTTTAAATTTAATTAGACAGAAATCACTAGGTATAGGGTCCCTAGGGACTAGGAGCCCTAGAAACCTTCTTAAAAAAATTATAAACAATTGTAACAGGTACGTGAATAATTTTGAATTCCGTATGGGAAAGAAGTCCGAACAACGTCGCATCACAAATTATTTTAAGGGGGAAGGCTCGGAAGGCGTATTCACTTCGTCGCGGAAAATTAACGAGGGCTTATGTCGTCCGGTAGTGCCGATAATGGCGATTTACCTAGTTACGAGAGAGACAGATTGCACAAAGAAACTTATCATTTCGAATATATATTTACACTTTATTGAAACAGCAATTTACATGCGGCGTTTGACGTGTGCGTCGGCCAAGTCCGGGCTAGTCCGTTCCGTGCCAATTAACGCACAGGAAACAGAACATCGCCTTATAACTGTCCCGCGAGTTCCCGTGAATGCGATGCAAATTGACGTACGCAGCCACTCGTCAGCGTCCGGCCGATACGATGCTTAGAGAGAGAAATCGAGGCGCGCACCGATAAACGAAAAAGAGTACCTGATCTTAGGAGAAAGCGCTGTTGTGGAAGTCCACATCCGCTGGACGAACTACGTAGTCCTTAACAGGTGGATCTCTATGTAGATTCTGCTGGTCTTCCTCTGCGATGCTGTTCACTCGGTATCAATTTACTATTCACGCACTTCTTAGTCGCGAGGCTAAACTAGCTCGAAATTAGTTGCTGGTCAAAGCCATACTAACGCCGTGATCTCGCACTTTCCGCGACGTCTTACGTGCCCCTCCCTATAGGTACCCAATCGGCCGAGCGCCGCCGGCTACGCACGCATGTGCGACTCATGCCGGCGACACTATTTCTCTCTCTCCTTCTCTGCTCCCCGCTCTCGCTCCATCCCTCCAACGCCAAGCATCTCCGCCGATCAGAAATCAAACCTGCAACAAAGCCACATCGTGCGTCGATACTCGATTTTAATCAACCGAGACCAATGTGGCAGCGGCTCAGGGGAAGGCACGCAGAAGAGAGAGAGAGGCGAACAGGACGAGCGAACTGAACGGTCGATTCACCCGTCACACAATTATTATCATTAATAATAATTAACATGGAAGGGTTAGGCCAGGGAATCAATGGGTTAAATCAGAGACCCCCACGAATATTTTTAATAATAATTGTTAACATTAATAATTATTATTAACATGAAAGGGTTAAGCCAGGGGGGGGCCAAAGGGTTACGGACCTCCCGCAGGCGTGCTGGAACATACGCATGTTCCAGTACACCGGAGACCCCCAGCAGGTGTGCTGGAACATATGGGTAATTCTAGGCTATTTCGATTGACTTGTAACCCTTAGGTTACGGATTTTTTTTTAATTTGGCACAATTGTTGTACACATAAAACTGAGATTTTTCCCAAATTTTGGAGACGATACATTAATTATATCAAAAGTTATTAACAATTAAAGAAAAATGATAAAAAATTTTCAAACAGCTATATTTTAAAAACTAATAAAGATATCGAAGTCGGATTTTTTTCAAAATACTTATAATGCCTTAAAATTTCGAAATAATTACAACAATAAACAATAAAAATTTTTTTTCGAAAGTTATTAACTTTTTGTTTAAACAATTGCTAATATCTCAAAAAGTATATTTTTTTTTTGAAAAATTCTTGCTCCTACGTATTCCTGAGGATTTTTGCTATCGAAATCAATCATAAAATTCAAGGGCCCGACATATCGGAAAGCGTAGCCCTAATCAAAAGAAGACGCCTCGGCGTAAGGCTGCGGTAGCGCTCCAGCGGACTCACGGTCGAAAGGTACTTTAGCTTTAATCTAAAAAACTAATAAAGATACCGAATCGGATTTTTTCCAAATTACTTATAATACCTTGAACTTTCGAAATATTTACAACAATAAACAATAAAAATTTTTTTTCGAAAGTTATTAACTTTTTGTTTAAACAATTGCTAATATCTCGAAAAGTATTTTTTTTTTTGAAAAATTCTTGCTCCTACGTATTCCTGAGGATTTTTGCTATCGAAATCAATCATAATATTCAAGGGCCCGACATATCGGAAAGCGTAGCCCTAATCAAAAGAAGACGCCTCAGCGACCGGACACCGAGGCGTCTAATAAATAAAAAAAAAAAAAAAAGTTTGCATGTAGTATGAAGTAAATTGCGCGAATGGGTCTTCGTTTAAAGATTTCTGGAAAAGTTTTTCCAGCGAATTTTACTGTCGCTTCAACAGAAAGCAGCTTTACCTGAAGCTCAGGCAAAGGACGTAGGGCGAAAAGGAAAGAATCGCTGATTACATAGCATCCTTCCAGACGATACTTCGGCGTTTCGACCCGCCGGTATCAACTAGGCGGCAGCTAACGATGATCATCGAAGGTCTCCATTGTGATGTTCGTATCACCTTTTTTTTTATATTATTATTTGTACTCTCGAGGTCTGTCGCTTTAATGAGTAAAAATTCATCTTAACTTTAAAAAATGCTTATAAAGAATAAATTTGAAATAAAATTATAAATGAATATCTATGATTATTTGAATTGGATTGGAGGAAAGATAGACTTTATCCTAGTTTCTTATAGTGCGAAGTGTCCCATAAGTCTTTCTTATAAAAGGATGCAATTTAGCCCAAGTTTCTCATAGCGGGAAGTATTCTCTGAGTCGAGCATAAATTACGATAGGAAAAAGAGGATTTACTCAGTTAATCACTTGAGGCCCTTCTCCTCGTCACGTCGCCGCCTGAGTTAATGACTGTGCACAGAGCTGCGTGGTTGGAGGCACCCTTGAAGGCTAAGCGCACCATCACCTACAGCAGCAGGTCGCCCTGTTTGTGGCCCAGTCCGTGACACTACACTGGTCGAACGTATGAATATGTGCACAATCGGCCTAATTCGCACGCTCGCAGTCACCATCGTACGCCAAAAGAGAGAAAAGTGGTGTCGATCCTCGAGCAGGAGAAGCTTCGACCACTCTCTAGCACGGACTAAGCTTTTGTCGGAAAATAGAGTTTTAAATTGATCTGTGCGACAAATGGGGGTCAGAAGGTGTGCCGTGGGCCCGCAAAGCAACAGACAGAGAGAAAGCAAGGAAGCTTGGTCGACCAACGCCGCCGGGAAGTGCATGCCGCTCCGCGGGCGGTCGACGGGAGAGGCCACCTGGCCATAACAATGGATCAACTCGTTTTAATGCCTAAAACGGCAATAAAATGGGTCTTAAAAACATGCTCCTTATGACCGCTCTATGCCGGCTCTTGTAAACATCTCGGCAACGA